AAGAGAATGGTCAAAACACATGGGTCATAGTAGGAGTGACAAGTCGTGTAACCGGAGCTAATAGAGGGTTTCACAACCATGAAAAGATGTTGTATCCAGAACATCACCGACACAACAAACAGTTTAGTGAGGCTGAAAAAGAGAGGTTAAGATTAATGAGAAAGGCGGGGGTGAGACCAAATCAGCAGAAGACGACACTCAATACTGAAGGGGGTGTGCATCATGATATCAAACAGATGTACAACAGAAATTACAAGACAAGATTAGATGAGATGGGTGAAATGGATGCGATACAGTTTGCACTTCACGGAGCTGAGCAGCATGGGTACCATATCTGTTTGCAAAAGGACGCTAATAATGTGCTCACTAATATGTTTTTTGTGCTCCCGACGTCAATTCAGATGTTGCATGCATGGTCGTACGTCATCCTCATCGACTCGACCTACAAGACGAACAGGTACGTCTGGCCATGGGTTGAGATTATTGAGGTTACTCCAGTCAAGAAGAATTTCAACATTGCATGTGCAATTATTAAGCAGGAAACAAAGGAAACATATTAGTGGTTGCTGCAATGTATTAAAGGGTTGCTCGGTGATACGGTTCCGAATGTCATTATGACAGACAAAGAAGGTGGTATGCTTGCTTCTGTTCCTGTGGTCTTCCCTCTCCCACATATTGTCCACCTACTATGTTTATGGCACGTCAACAACTGTGTGAAGAAAAAGTTTGAGCAATTACTGGGTGGAATTGCAAAAAGAGAGGTAGCACAAGCGGTATGGAAGAAATATTTCGACAAAGTTTCATGGAGTTGGACTCAGGAGGGTTTTCTTCAAAAGATTAATGAGTTTGAGAGGGTCTGGACAGAGAAGAGTACATAAAAATGGTCGACTACGTGCGAGGTGAGTGGTTGCCTCATCAGACAATGTGGGCAAAGTGCTACACGAACCATGTGTTTCATCTTGGTAACACGAGCTCGAATAGAGTTGAGTCATCTCACTCTTCATTCAAGACTTTCCTTGTGTCTGGTAGAGGAGCGATTGACACTTGTTTTGCAAAGAACCACAACTACATGGAACATCAGTTTCTGGAAGTAGTGAATGAACTGCACAAGTCACTGAACCGCAATCTGAGTAGGGCAATTGAGGCTCTGTGCACGTTTTTGAGGAGGGTCGTTAGTTGTGAGGCAATCAAACTGATGTTAGATGGGGCGGTGGAGTTGAAGGATAGTTGTGTGTGTCATTTTCAGATGACACATGGGCTCAAGTGTGCTTGCCAGGTTGTTCAAGCTTAGGAAGAAGGGCGTCAATTCTATGCTCAAGAGTTTCATGTATTCTGGCGGACTTTGAATTATAAAAACCCCCCAGGTCAACAACAAGTCAGTGATGAAATTGAGCTTCAACGACAACACTTTAGGCGTCTTACTATTGAGGTGGAAGAAAGAGGTCCTGAAGCAGTGAGACAAGCAAGAGATGCCATATTCTATGGGCTTCACCCAGCAGAGGACAAAGTGAGGGAACCGGAAGTGAATGAGAATCCGAGAGGGCGACCTCGAACAAGCACCAGTCGCATTCGTTCATATTATGAGCGGTCTCGTTCGAGGAGTATTGATCCTGGTTCGAGTGGAGGCAGGGGGCGATAGCGTGGAGGCAGATCTCGATCGAGTGGAGGGAGGGGGCGATTGAGTGGAGGTGAATCCGACGAGCATGATACAGGTGAGTAATTGGTTTAATATTACAGTCCATCTAGTAGTAATTGGTTTATGTTTGTAAATGTTTTCTAAGTAATTTTGACCGTTTGGTATATTTTTGTAGATAACTCATCCCAGATCGAGGAGCTTTTTCTAGAGTTTGTTCGACCTTTGCTGGTAGGCGATTTCAACCCTAGTCCAGACGGCCATTGTAGTTTTAGGGCACTTTGTCATTGTATTTATGGGGATGATAGTCACTATCTGCTCATGAGATATTAACATTAATTGTTAAATCAATCACTAATTAATTAATTTTCTATTAACTAATTGTTTGAACCTAACTGAGTGTAGGAGTTAGATTCGAGTGAGAATTGGGGTCAAGAAGAAGTGCAAGTATTGGGTATGATCGGAAAGTCCAAGCCTGGGGAGTTGAGGGAGAGCAAGAGAAGGGATATTAGAGGGATAAGCTGTTATTGTAGAGAGAGAGTGGTGAAAAATGCGATCCCCTCACCCACCGGAGTAAATGCCATATTTATAGGCTACATGTTGGTGGGTGAGAGGGTGGACTACGAGACGGTACAACGACGTGACTACTGATGTGTCAGGGATATAGGCCATCCCTTAACCTAGGACTTGTCAGAGGGTTGTCTATGATTGCACCTAAAGTCTTGACGTGACCTTCCCTCGGGAAACGCAATGACGCCCTCTGCGGTTATGACGCCTGGTCTTCACACTCCCGCGCGTAGCTTCACCCTTGACGCGCGCAAGGTCTTCCCGCTGCCGGGTGTGTCGCGCGGTCTGATATGTTCTCTTGGCGCGGGGACGATCTCCACACTCGCGCGTGTGGCTTTACCCTTACCGCGCGCAAGGTCTTCGCGTCGCCGGTTGTGTCGCGCGGTCCGATATGCTCCTTTGGCGCGGGGACGATCCGAGTCATATGCCCAACACTAATCTAAGTAATTAAACATTCATACACCAATTTAAATAAATATTAAAACTAATTGCTAATTTTTATTAACTAATTAAGTAATTTTTTATTGACTAATTAATTAACATATAAAATTAAATTGCCTGCAAAATCTGGCCGGGCCAAAAATAATCTGCGGCCGGTGCTCCGCCGGGCCGAAAAGGTTTTGCGGCCGGGGCGCCGCCGGGCCGAAAGAGATTTTCGGCCACGCCGCCGGAAAAATATAGGCCGGCGTGTACGCCGACCGGCCGAAAATTTTTTGCGACCGTGATGCCGCCGGTCAGAAAGAAATTTTCAGCTAGTTCCAGGCCTGGCTGAAAAAATCTTTCGGCTCGGCGCCATCCGGCCCGTAATTTTTTTTCGGCCCGCCGTGTTTCTCGTCGGAAAACTGTAAAACTTGCCGGACAATTAAACTTACTTGTTTTCCGACGATTGAGGGTGACGGGAGGTTGGCCGGCGACGGAGGCACTGGGCTCGACGACAGAAGTTTTTGTTGGAATGAGTCAAATGTTAATGGTATCCGAATTTATAGAATGTAAGGAAGGGAAAATTCAAAATTTCAATTCAATTTTTTTTTAGTTGGCGGCAAATAGTAATTTGGTTGGCAGCAAATAGACATTCACAATTGAATCCATCAACTCAATTTCTCATATTGAGCACTCTCCAACTTGCTTGATGATTTACAAGTCATATCAACTTTCCTATCGGCGTTCAATTGGTTTTGTTTGTTTGATCAATATTTACTCTCATTGCCTACTTCATGATCGAGTTGTTAATTGAAAACTAGATAAGCTCGCTGCGCTTCGCGGCGAGTGAAAAATAGCAATGTAAATGTGTTATTCTGAAAGAATTAGTAAAATGTAAATCATACGACTTAATTCTTGAAGGGCAAGAAAACTCATTAAGATATTGTGGAGAGATTAGTAGTAATTTTACTCGTGAAGGATTGGTGGACGAGAGGTAGCGGGTAAGGATTGAACTTATCGGGACAGGTGAGATGGGCCGGTAGGTGTTGAGTGGACCGAGCTGGTGGTGGAGTTGGGAGAGGGGGCAAGGGATGTATTAGGAGAAAAGGAATCGTGTTGGACCGAGCAAGTGTTGCAGGGTGGGGAGTGAGCTGGAAATGGTGGGGGAGGGCCAAGAGTAATTAATGGACTGGGTAGGGAAACATGGTTCCTGAGGATAACTTTAAAATCGCAACTCAAATATCATTAGTTCGAATATTTCATATTGAATTGGAGTACTGAAAATGCATAAGTTATATAGAATTCTTAAATTAGTATTTATTTTTGGAACTATTATGAAATAATCATATTCATATCTTTGTCTAAACAATTTGGCATTGGTTTTTTGAACATTTTGGTTTGGCAAACCGCTAAATTGTAAACCTCTTCCTATTCTTACATGAATGGACCCGACAATCAGTAGACAAGGTTGAGTTTAATAAATTGGTTTATTTCAACTTTTTTTAATGTGTTAATGAATTTGTAGGGCAAGGAAATGTCTACATAAACACTCTACAAAATATATAATAATGGAATGAGAAAATAATTCTCTCATTTCAAATTTTCTACAACGAGAGCGAAAATAGGAATGATATTTTTGCTTCACAATTATTTATCTTTATTATTTATTAGAAAATAGGCAAGTATTGGATTGAACTAATGTATCTTCAAACAGAGACAAGAGTCATAACCATAATTGTCAATCCGAGTTGAATCAGTCAGTTGAACCAATTATGCTCAAACTCGAGTATCTCACCTGGCTCTGAACTCTTAGTTGGTTTTCTAACCGGGCTCAGTTAAACCCAGGAAACCCCAATCAAATTGATAAATCCAACCGATTCTACAAATTGGTTCGAGCACCGGGCCACTTCAAAATGAAGTCGTTTTAAAAAATCATATCCGTAGTTTCATCGTCATGGCGTGCTTTTTCTTATCACATACCCATACATCAGTGAGGATCAACAACCCATGTTTGACAATCCCATCGTCTCTTCTATTTCATTTAGGTTTGACAGGAAATAATACGAGTCTCAACCATCTCAGAAGACTTCATAATCTCTCCGTAATCAATTCCATTTTTCTTCTTGCTGCACATTCATTGAGCCAATCGACTTCATCTCATGTAAAGAAAAAAAAAGGAACATGCATTTGGATTGATACTTTGTGCGAGTGTGACAATAGAAGCCAAGTTCCTCATTTGTATATGCTCTAGAAATCGAACTGGAGAAAAAATGTAAAAAAGTATTGAGAATAGAATATGAGACCTAGAAATGTAAAGAAGGAAAGAACGTATAGAAAAGGAAAAGAAAGGGGGAAGAGTTTAGAGGGCTATTGTACAGATGGATGTCACACAAACACAACAAAAAATATAAGTGGTACGGTAGTCAATGCTAGCTCATAATACTTAACAAATTTATCATATCGACAGGTCATAAATCTAAATGTCATCATGCTCTATAATAATGTTAATGTCATACTAGACCAACGTATCAAACTAGCTAGCTGCTCCATATTACAATGGAATAATCCACACCCACATTGTGTCCACTAATTCAATATCAAGTTGCATAATAAAAATTTCTAAGATAAGCTTTAAATGTTTCTGCTGCTGCAATCCGCTGTTGCTGTTGTTTACAGTTGCTTTGCTTTATTTCAGAATTATTGAAGCCAAGTTCACTTGTGATTCGGTTCATCTATGGAACGGTGACGGCTGTTTTGCTCAAAGATGAACACCTGAAAAAAAGACCAAAAGGCGTATGGCAAGCCCTTCTAATTTGGCTTGGTACGACCTTCGGACCCAACTCGTTAATGGCGGTGAGAGAATAAGAGCTAACATCTTCATGACGAACGAACGCTCAGATAGCCGCCCCAGCCATGATCATAAAGAAAGGATATATCATCACCAAGGGCCAATATGCAGCATCAGTTGTAAAGACTGAAGTAAGCCCAAGACAATCAAGGAGCAGGCAACTTCAAGATCCAATCAGGCCCTTGTACCGTGCATAGGACATTATTCCCAGGAACACGATTAGACACAATATACCTGTTAATACTACCACCTAGCACAAACAATACAGTTCATCATTTGGGTGTGAGATTGAAAAGGGAAGATGGAGAACTTTGCAAGATTCTGAGTTAGCATATCATACCCATACGAATACATATCCATAGCCCTCATTCCACGTGTAAGGGATATTCATGCCAAATATTCCGGCCACCAAAGAATATATTGACAAACAGACAGTTCCGGCACTTAGAAATAACTCCAACTGTCGTGAAAAGAGAGGAGGATCAGAGAGAATTTCTGTGTATGAGTAAAGCAGGAAGCAGGTTTGCACTTGGAAATGCAAAAGATGGATGGGGAGAAAACAAGGCACCTGAATAAGCTGGTTTCGATGGTTGTCAAGCTGCAAGACAGAAGCTTTGGTGCATAAGATTTCACTTTGAGAAATGCATCAACGCAAGCTATCATTTCAATGATTACGAAGTTTCAATCGTCACACGGCTAACCTGAATGTTGATGTAATCCTCAGTATCATCAATGTATTCTCGCAACTGTATGTACCAACAATAAATGATTGATGAAAAAAGTATTAAAAACAGCATTATAGCATTGTCACATGTGTGTCAACTGCACTCTTACGAATGACCACACATAACAAGAACAAACACAGATGGGAAAACACAAAGGTGCTCACCGTGGTTAATTTGTTCAATGTGCTATCGATTTGCATAAAGTAAGCCTGAAAATACATTATGGCCCATGAGATATTGCTGCGATCATAAAGGAAAATTCAAATAAGCAGCATAAGAGTTTCATAATAACCTCCAACAACATTTCAAGCTCCTCCACATCATTCTCATCACCATGAACTGTCGCCATGCTTGCTCTGCTTGCCCTAGAGATTTTAGAACCAATTGTGGGGGAAGCAGCAAACCAGTCGACACCTGAGCCACTAACTGGTGAAGATGAGCTAGCCTTCCTCGACAAGTAAAGGTCAGCCATATCATCATCATCATCCAGTAATTGTTCAAGCTCATCCCGGACCTACAACCAAAGTTATTACCAATTCCTCATCAACACAATTACAGACAATTCAATCAGCATGTAAATGGACACACCCATGCCTGAAATATATCAAATTTGGATATGCTAGGGGTATGCCATAAGTATTAAGGAAGTAACTTCACCGGAACTCTTGACAGTAATTAGTAGTTACACTGCAAGAATAGTCCTATGCTTAAAAGTCAAATCCATAGATCCCAATACCTTCTGAACCCGAGCAGTCAACCTTGTCATTGCACTCTTCAATTTACGAACTCTGTCCAAATTGCGACTGCTAATCTGCATGTGTAGAGGACAGAGATTAAATAAAAGAAATGCCTCCCACAGTAGGACCTCTTCTTCATCTCCCAATGCCAGGACGTTCAGTCGAACTGTAAATAGAAGCCTTACCTTGGAAGTTAGTTCATCCAATGCAGGGTAAGCAGCAGTCTCTAATTCTGTTGTACGTGCAGCTAGAAAGCTACAAATGGCTTCCAGAGCAACCTCCAGAGCACGAAATTCAAATGGAGATTCTGTGATGATTCAGAATGCATTACATCAGCAGAAAAAACCCTCAACTAATCGCTGGACTAAACATTCTAATGACAAACAGTTTAATTAAAGAATCAAAATGGAACGATACACATTCCAGTGAGACATACCATCTTCTTCACCCCCATCAACATCAGCTTGCTGGGTGCCATGGTTTTCTCCACTCGCTTGACCTTCTCTTGCAGGTGGTAATCGCCTTTGAAGCTCCTCGACAACAGGAACAACATTTTCATCCGATGGGTCTCTCAACAATACCTAGGAATGGTTTAATGATGAAGAATTCGAACTGTCAGAATCTTCAAGAGAGTAAAGGGACACAGAATTGAAGAAAACATCGAGAGCCACAACACTACTCTGTGCTTCAGTAGAAAGAAATCCCAGCAACACAATTCAATTCACCATTTCATAAACAAAAACCACAAATCAGCAACTAGCTTGACATCAGATGGTGAGCTCATACAGCTGGTAAGAGTTTCCACTTTCCAATTAAGTTTCAAATTCACAGTTCTCGATCACCTCTCTTCGAAATTTCTCAGCAACCAAACACATCAATTAACAATCCCTCGTCAATAAATCAAACTAGATTTTTAAATCACTAACCTCCTCAGCAGTGATAATCGCCTTGATGTGCTGCAACCAAAGACGAAGCAAGAGCGCCGTCAGCGAAAACCAGAGGAGAAATCGACACCCAACCAACGACTGAATTGAATCTAGTTTTGACTGAGACGAACCTCCAAGTTGAGAACGATGGCCCTCTCACGGCCGAGAATAGCGGAAGGGTAGGACAGCAGAGGATCGAGAATCCGGAGATCGCGGGCGTGAATCTGGACACGGTGCATGATTGCATGTTTGTCGGCGTCGAGGATGGTGCCCTGGCCGGCGGAATCGACGAGGATCCAGCTGGTCGCCGGCTGAGTCTTCTTCTTCACGGCGGCGATCACTACCGCCGCGGGCGTCGTCGCCGCCGACGCTACGGCCGGGTCCGCCGGAACAACGTACCCGTCCATCGCCATGTCGCCCAAACCATAATCAGAAGGGAATCAACAGCGGGAGTAAGCAACTCATCTCTGCCTCTATTTATTTATTACACATGCGCCACTGCGCCTGGCGCATGAGACATACCTAGAAATGAAAACAAGAATCCCCTTTCATTTGGGTTAAAAATTTAAACAGAAAATAAATTGCATTGGTACGCCACGGGAAAGAGAGAGGGGCCGAGGGAATCGCTGAACGGTGCCGTTCGTTTCTTTGTTTTCTTTTTCTGGTAGAAAGCCAGATGCTCAAACAGCTCAAGGCGTTTCTAATTCATCTACAAATATATTATAGTAGAGTTGGAGATAGTTTTTCAGTATTTTGAATTTTTTGCACCGAAAGTATTGAAGGATAATTATATCTTCACAATTATTAATTATTTTTCATTCATAAGAAAAAAACATCAATATCAGGATTCAAACCATGGTCTTTCCAAATGAAGACAACAACTATTACCAATTACACTAAAGAAATGTTGTGTATCCTTTTAAATACAAAATCTGAAAGCCTAAAATCTAAAAATTATATGACTTTTCCACTATTGTTAGCTAGCCCACTAACTCTCCCGAAATTACTTTCGTTGTTATTTAATATTTTAATTTGAGTTTAATAGTAAATTTAATTTATGTCCTCTTATAAATGGAGAATAATTTTAAAATTTCAACCCAAATATCATTGGTTCGAATATTGCATATTGAATTGTAGTATTGAATGTGTAGATGTGATGTAGAATTCTTAAATTGGTATTAGTTTTTAGAACTATTAAAGCAATGATATTGTTATGCAAACTGTAAATGACAAGTTTTTTGAAAGTTTTAGTTTGATTAATCGTTAAATCTTAAATTTCTTGATAATATGATCGGAAAAATGGGTGAGTTTAAAAGAACACAATTTATGAATACCAATTTTTATGGATGATTTCAATAGGGTAATTTATTAGATTTATCATTCGTAGTTAGTTAGTTTAATATGACTTGAATTACTAAACGGAAGACTGGAAAAAAAATGTGGAGAGATGCTCTCGCCTCTCTCCTCTGGTTGGGGCTTCTCCTCGGCCGCTTGATCGTCGTGGCTGTGCAGAAAGTGCTAGATGCTAGCCTGCGCAATCAAATCCAGGGGAGGAAGACGCAAGGACGAACGCGACCCTTAGTCAAAGACAATAACCAATCGATGCCTTTCTTTGGCAAAAGTGATCCTTGGCCAGAGCTTCCCGAGAGAAGGGACGAACCCAGGCCCCTGCACAAAGGGAAGAAACGGAAGCTGAATTTTGATTTGGAGTGTGATATAAACTACTCCGGGAAGAAGAAGAATCGGCATACAAAGCTAGTCAAAGCTTGGTGCTTTAAAATCCCATCGTCGGAGGAACTAGACGAATGAATGGAAATTCAGGGCATGTGCCGACAGGAACAAGAAATCCGTCGGAGTTCAAGGCATGCAGTGGGGGTAATTCCCAGTACTACTTGCTCCCCTTTAGAGTTCAGTGGTACAACCGCTAATCCTAAAGGAACCGTGGGTGGAGATTCGAAAGTTTTGACATCATGCCCTCACCAAAACGTGTGTTTGGGCAATGCATCTTCCCCGAATCGGCGGGAAGACCTGCGGTGGTGCATCTCGAACAAGCAAGAATCTCTGATTACTCCGGATCGACCGGAAAAAACTCGGCGATGCAACACAATTCGCTGGGAAGCGCTCCGACGAACCAGCAGTTTGGATCTGGTGGGGATCCGATTACCGGATTTTGCGTCCTGGTCGGTGGTGATTTCCCCACGATTCAACCGTCTGAGAAACGGCAATTTGAATTCTACTCCTAAAAGAAAAGAAAAATATATTAATTATCCTCAATTTTTGGAAGGGAAAGGGGAGTCGGATCTTCGTTGTGATTATCCTCTATCCCGCAACGGCTTTACAAAGGAAATCCTGGAGAGGGGTATCCTAAATAGAAAACACCTCTTACCTGCTTCTCCTTTATTATATCTTCAGTCCGGCTGCACTCCTATCTCTCTAAGATACTCGGAGCGCCGCACCAAGATAGGAAGCAAGGAGAGCACTGGTGTGAATCCCAAATTTACAGGCTTCCCTCTCCAGCTAGGTAACTTTTGTCCTCTCACTGTTAGTCCTAAGTTGGCTTCGGAGATTAACCAAGCCATCTCTATCCCTGTTCTGTGTGACCAGCAGGGACTAGAGATATCTCCATGGGAGACTAACGATGGTGTTATTACTGATAATCTGCCTATACAGAATACGATGGCGGCTCATGCAAGCGAAGACCAGGTGGTGCAATTTAACTTGGACGAGGTTCAATCCGTCAAGGCCAGAAGCTCCCATACTCTGTTGGGACACGTTTTCACTGCTGCTAGGAACTTGACGTTTGAACTTCGAGAGGCAGTGAATGCCCCATGGCAGTGCAGGGGCAGGATCAAGGTGCTGCAAGCCAAACATGGCCTGTTTGAGTTCGTGCTCCACAATGAGGAGTCGAAAATCTGGGTTCTAAAACGAACCCCCTGGGTAGTGAACGACAGGATCATTCATCTCCGGCCATGGACACCGTCTGTCACTAGGAAGACTTATGATGATCTTGCTATCGCTCCCCTTCGGGTGCAACTTTGGGATGTAAAAGAAGACTGTTGTACTGCAAAATTTGGAATGACGGTGGCGGGTCCTACGATTGGGCAGATCCTCGAGGCTGGCGTCTACTCCTGTCCGGAAACAGGAAGATGCTTCATTAAAGTTAAAGCGCTGATCGACTTCTCCAAACCATTGTGATCTCAGTTAATGGCGTCTAGCGAGGAAACGGGGGGATTCTGGGTGCGACTTAAATATGAACACCTCCCCTCTTTCTGCTTCCACTGTGGGAGGGTGGGACATTTCCAACGGGAATGTACCTTCGACCCACCAAATCGAAAAGAGCGTTATGGCCCTCATATGATGACCAAGAAACTGGGAACACGTATTTATGATGCTGATGACATTTCTATCCCGTTCCCAGGGAAGTCCAAGACTGTTTGGGTCAACAGCAACATTGGCGGAACTCATCATATCCCCAAACTGTCACGAAGGATGGATGACCTGCGCCAGGAAAGGTTGGAGGGAGAGAGTTCAGTTAATGGAACTCAAACCTTTGGCCAAGGAATCAACCGATAAGGGAGTTTTGCTCCAATGAAACGCGAGCAGCAGGGGAATGGGCGACGCAAGCCGAAGGGTTTTTCTGTCCCTCGGTCGCCCAAAATGCGCCTAAATGCCACCATTCAGCGTCGGGCCAAAGATAAGGCCTCTCTCGGCCCAGTCCGAGCTGAGCCCAAAACCAAGCTGAATCGCGAGAGCGGCCGATGGAGGAGGGCCAGCCCAGCCGGAAGGGCACGCGGCGGCTAATCAAGGCCTCCGGCCGCGGCCAGCGGGTGGGTGCAGCAGCTGCTGAGAAAAAACAAAAAGGAAAAGGAGGTGGAAATAATAATCAACAGCCGCAAAAACCGAAGGGTACTGCTGCGATCATTGGCAGTGGTAACTGGGTGGAGGTTCCGATTCAGGAGGCTGCTATTTCCGTCCCCTCCCCTGCGAAGGCTGAACGGATTCTGGATGGGAATTTGAAGGCTGCATCGGAGGAATTGTGCTCGGATGGTGAGGAGAATTGCTTTGAGATTAAATGCAGAACACCGAAGGTGAACACTGGCCATGTTCAACAGGTTGTTCGAGCGTTTGAAGCTGGGTTGAACTTTGATAACCCCCCCTCCCCTCAATTGCCGAGGGACCTGCCTGATATTCTTGATGGGGAATTGGTAGGGGAGCAGCTTGCAAGCCTAAATGGAAAACTGGGAGATTTGGATGAATATGGGTCCAATTATAATGCCCTCCAAAATGGTGAAAGAAAAAGGCCATTCCAGAAATTGGAGGGAGAGGACAATGAGATCCCCATGCCAAAAAGACAATTTGTGGAAGAAAGAGATGCTGCTGATAAGGTGGAGGAAACCAGTCTAAAGTGGTCCCAGCAGGATAAATGAGGCTTTTGGCCTGGAATGTGAGAGGTATTGGACCAACCCTCACATTCCGTACTGCCCTTGGTTTAGTTCAGTCAAATAAACCGGATCTTGTGTTCTTCTCAGAAACAAGAGCGCGCCGGAGAGTAGTTTCCATCGGCTTCGGGGTTTAGGTTTTGAGTCTTCGTTTTCTTTCTTTGTCGATGCCATTGAGGCATCTGGTGGTCTTGTTGCTGCTTGGTCCCCCGAATTTGTTGCTTCGGTGTTTTATCAGTCAGAATTCTGTATTGGAATTGAAGTTAATGAAATGAATTTTTCCTACGTTGTTTTTGGTGTTTATATGAGTTGTAATTCTTCTCGTAGAGCAACTCAATTGACTCTCCTTCGAGATGTCTGTGCGTCCATCCATCTTCCTTTTGGGGTTATTGGTGACTTTAATACCACCTTGCACGCTCATGAAAAAGATGGGGGTAATGCTTGGAACAGTACGCCCTCAGCAAGCCTGCGGGATTTTATCATGGACCTTGGGCTCCATGACCCCGGCTATCAGGGGGATACTTTCACCTGGACGAACAAACGAATTGGTAATGCTTGCATCCGTGAAAGACTTGATAGGGCCCTCTGCTCCCAGTCCTGGATTGATCAATTTCCAGACACTCTTGTCAAACATTGCACGGATCTTGGTTCGGATCACCGGGCGCTGCTCCTAGCGGATAAACCCTTTGTCCGGAAAAGTCGCCCCCTGTTCAGGTTCGATGCTAGGTGGGCGGATACCCCGGAAGTTAGGGAAATGGTGCGTTATGTTTGGCAAGAGCAAATCCCTGGGACCCCTATGTATCGTCTCTGGGAGCGACTTAAGCATCTTCGCCATCTTCTCTATGATTGGAGTCGGGCTGGGACTACCAATGCGCTGCGCAATATCAAGACTCTCCAAGTGGAGATTGATCATATCAAGTCTCAGCATCCCATCAATTGGGAGGAGGTCAAGACCCTAGAAACAGAGTTGTCCCGCCAATGGGAAGCAGAGGAGATGTATTGGCAACAAAAATCGAGGGTGCATTGGCTGAAAAAAGGTGATAAAAACACCTCCTACTTCCATAATGTCACTAGAGCTCGTCGGAAAAGAAATTTCGTTGCTGGTCTTTATAACGCGAATGATGAATGGGTTATTGAGGAGAAAGGGAAGGCGGACATCGCTTGTGAGTTTTACAAACATCTTTTCACGTCGGAGAATCTAGTGATTAATATGGCAGACCATG